TGAGGAACTTTCTTATATTTTCCTTAAGTAGTAAGCTTTAAGTTATGATATACCAGTATTTGATTAACTGAGTTCAATGTGAGATGGAAAGATCATGAGGAACCAGGGTTGTGTTCTGAACAATCCTAAATATACACCTGGGATTGACGCTGCATGGCTGGAGAGGCTGCTCAGCCCCACCAATAACAGATGGTCCTGCAGGAATAGTTTAAACCCTGAAGGGTGTTGTTCCTAGTATCATCCAGAAGTCAATAACCCTTAGCTAAAGCAGAATTTAATTGTCTAAAACAGAGACTTTAGGTGTCAAAATGATTCTGCTTACTTATTACCATGCTTAAAAAATCAATCAGTGAATTCAGCATATTTTGCCATCACTGCTTGGCAGATTTTGCTGTTAAGACCATGAATGAAAATGAGTTCATGTCAAACTAAAATATCCTAAAGATTGTATCTGTTTTTACCATGGTTTAATGCAATTTTAATACTCATTTCATTTGCAGCAAGAAAATTATTTTCATAAAAATTCTAACATCTATTATGTTGGGAATTTGAATGTACTGAAACATTATTAAACGATACAGCTAAATGTAATATGATTTCTTAACTTTGAAAATGGTATCAGCCTGAAAAACCCAATTTTGAAAATTTCAAAGGAAAAATAGATTCGCTATTTCTAGGAAGAAAGGACACATTGTGCATATTTTATTCTACCCTTTAGGGATGTTCTAGAACAAAACATTGTTTAATTTTTTTTTTTTCTTTTTAGAGGGAAGATACACAGAAGTTAGTATCATTTAAAAAATCTATCAAATAACTAAGAAAACAATGTAAATGAGTTAACCTAAGTGAATAAAGTTCACCTAGAGAATGACAAGAAATGAAACAAAGAAAAGGTGCTAGTCTAGGTGTGTTCACAGCAGACAAGCAAGGAAGACTATTGTAATTCTAGGTTTCCAAAGTGAAACTCAGTTCAATGACATGAATATATGACACAGGCAGGCATCAACTCACAGCTCAGAACTCACTCCATTTTGTCTCCATTTGTCACTTGCACCCCCTACAAAAACTCTCCTGTGAATCCTAGGTAGCTGTGTATCTGAAAGTCCTCAACATGCAGTTGCTATCACACCGAGGCACAGATAAGTTACAACCTCTGAATCCAAAACAGCACTAGTATTTTTTTCCTCAAGAAAAGATCTACTAAGGAAATACTATCAGCAGAAGACACTGTCTTCCTACTAAAGATACGTCTTCATTTTATACATCTCATGTTTCCATGCTTCTCCTTGAGGTTTGTTTAATGAGGAAAGAAACCTCATTTACTGAATTGCAGTTGCTATTGTCTTGCACAAAAACTGTTTTGTTTTCAAAATCAATCATCTGTGATCATTCTCAGCAAGTCCACTGTACCTACTGTGATCTGCACATGGATTATATACTTTTTCCAGTAGATAAAAATACATGTTTGTAAAATCATTAAAAAATAGGCATGGCTATTTCCACTGATTTTATATCTAACAGGACCAGTCAAAGACATTAAGCATTAAAGAACTGCGAGGCATTTTGCTGAACCCTGTCTTGAAGTAAATATATTTAAACCCATGTAAGTCTGGAATGAATTGCTGTTCTACAAATACACACTATTTACAAATGGAGCAAAGATGAATTCTAAAAATACAATTTGAGAAATGATTCAACAGCTATTCCTTTGAGGATCAAAGCACTCAGTAGAAAGCCCTCTTCATTATGGTAATATTACAGCTTTATAGATACCTGGGGTTTTAATCTGATTTATGTTTAGAGGAGAGTATATACATATAATTGAGTTTCTCCTAGGAAAGGTGAAGGCCAGACCATGGACATCAGAGGTATCACAGGTAAGTATGTGTGGACCTGCAACATCTACCTTGAATAATCATCAAAGAGCAAATGTATTCATTCTAAGGCATGTATTTGAGATTGTATTCTTTCAGACACATCTAGTGTTTCTGCATTTGGAAAAAAACAGGCAAGACTAATTCCCTAGGCTACAAATCACTCTAATGTGGAAGGAAACGTGTTAGCTAGTTGTATTACAAAGCCTTTACTTCACATTTAATAGGCACCTGCAATACCAGCATTATACAAAGCTCTCTACTTTGCAAATCTTTAAAACCCCACTTAATTTTCAGCACTGATTTCCTGCAATCTAAGAGCTTATGAAGGGTTCACTGTGTTCATACAGACCTATGCAAAATGTGCCAGAACTTCCCTGTCTGTGATGGCATTCATTTGGAGGTGAATCCCAAATTTCTATCACTGGCATGCTTATTTCCGACTAAAATAAATATTCTTAGAATGAAAGCTGAAGATTAGGAGGACAAAAAAGAGACAAAGTAACTAGCACTGGAAGAGATATATGCAAATATCAGCTCAGTGACAATTCTTCATACCATTTACAATTGAAGCTTAAAGACCCAAATACTCTGCAATCCATTAGTTTCTCAATATCCTGGAAGGGATTAGCGTATTTCTTAATCAACTGCTAAACAGACTGAAAAAGGCCAAAGCCTGGATATTAACAAAGCAGTGTAATACTAAAATGCAGAGATGATCAGATAGAAAGACAAACTAAGGAAGAATATTAAAATAGAAGATATTATATAAACATAGTCAAACTGAACAAATTTCCATCCTTTCTTGCAGCCTGTATAATTACACATCTATATATATTAATGAGTGGTAAGGCTACAGTATAGTCCTTTCAAACCCAGATAAATTAATTTCGTATATTTTCTCAAGGAATTAGGGGATAATTAGTGTAAAATGACTAGAAAGAATCAATCAAAGCTGTCTCACAGATCTTGCCTGTGTATGTATCTTCATTATTCCCAGCTACACAGGTGGCCCCAAGTCCATTATTTTAAATGTGATGCGTATTTTTGGCACTAAAATCAATCAAACTATTAAAGATTGGAGGAAAATATTTTCACATGCCATTTAAATAATGGATAAGTATGTAAAAATAAATCTTTTAATGAATAACTTCAAGTTTTGAAATCCTGAAATATCAATATTATGTCTCAGAAAATTCCAATTCTGTCACTATTCTTTTCTATAAGCAACAAACTGCCTATAGGACAAAAATTAGTAAGATAGATTATATATGGGTTGTTTCTCCAGTTTATTTCTGCAATCATTCTTTACTATTAAGGAATTGTTGAACATACTTAGAAATTTCACATGTTAATGAATCTTGGCTTAGGAAAAGAAAGAATATAAATCAAAACAAAAATGTCAATCATGGTAATATATCTATCTTATTCTATGTTTCTGATGACTGATGGCCCAATAGATTTGTATCAAACAGGCAAAAAGCATGAGTTCTTTTTCAAATGAAATGTTGGACAGATTTGATTGCTATCTGAAACAACTGATGAAATCAAACAGTGAAGTATATTTCTTTTCATAATTGAGAGATCATATTTCTACATTTGGATTTGCTTTTGTGATCTGATATAAATTTTAGGGGAACTAACCAGTTGGACGGTCATACCACATTAGCATTATTACTTATTGAACATAACACCTATGCCTCTAGAAACTTAAAACTTTTGAATAAGCCTCTTGTTGACTTGCATTCTTAAATTCTCACAAATATTTCATCTGTGATTAGAGCCATATTTCAACAAACCTGATATAAATTTTAGGGACCTATTATGTAATAATTCTGAGAAGGATTTTAAACATAAAATCAATTGTTAAGAAAGCAAAAACTTAAGAACACACATAAAATAATTCCTACTTAGTTTCCAACTACATGAAATATGACATTAATTGATTTGTTAATATTATCAAGGGTTGAATCTATAGTTTTAATAGAGGATTTCCCTTCAAGAAAACACCAAACTAAATTCAGAGAAAGCTCACTGCAAGGATTTTAAGTGAAAGTGGTAAACAATTCATGTTGTGCTTTTGTCTGTTTTAATTGCATGCAAACCAAGAGCTCAACTCTGACAAAATCAAATCGAGAAAGTACTAAAAATGAGCCAAGCAGTTAACATGACCTCGAATCCTGCAAACCCCTGGTCTGGTACTGCTAGGTCAACACAAACACTGTAGATTTTCCCACTTGGTGGTTTCTGCATTCCCACTCCCTCAAACCCCAAATTTAGACATCAAACAGTCTAAACAGTATATTAAAAATAATTATGAAAACAGAAATTATAAGAAGATAATTTAAAGGTCTCACTTTCCTACCTTGGTACTGTCACATAAAATAATATAATTGAAAAATAATTCATGTATTTGCTATTTCTCATATTTTGGGTACAATTTACCTATATCTCATATATGTCAGTATGAAAATAAAACTTTGAGTCAGAATAATTCAGAACTGGTTATGAGGAAATCTGATTTTAGATTTGAGCTTTTTAATAAATTTAAATTCTATTTTACTATATCATGTATTATATTTTAATTTGTGCTATTATGAGAAGATAAATTTTAGCTGGAAATATTTAACTATTAAGACTGTGCACATACCATAAGAATATAACATGTTAGTACAACATTTACAAGGTAATTTTAATGATGCTAAAGCCTGTTCTGCGACACCATGAAGATGACTCATCTGAAGCCAAGGGAACATCAATTTAGAGTTTCTATATACAGAATCCATTGCAACAAAATATAAAAAGTAAGATAATAGAATATTCTAACTGCTGAAATTATTTTCTCTATATTAACAAATGTTCAATAATCAGTACACATGTCCATACTCAGTACAGTAGTAACCTTTTATTTTTATTCTCCTTAAGGTTATTAGCAACAAAAACTAAAATGTAACCAGAATTTTACACCCTAGGTGTATCAAGCTTAAAAATATTAAACATTTGTCTTACAAAACCGAGAGGAAAGGTAGCCCAGTTGAATGGATGGCCTCTGCTCATTTCGAATTCCTGAATCAATATCCAAGGGGTCTGGGTGTCTTTAACTTTGTAACTGAATTCACGATCATATCACTTAAGCAAAGCAAAGGAGCAGAAACAAAAAATCACAACAGATAACATTTTAATATAATTTGCAACTTCAGGAGCAATTTTTTTCCATATGCCACCTATATTCATCCCTCACAGAATACTGCCAAATTTAGTAGTTTAAAATATCTTAAAATTTTTGCTAGCTTCACACCAGTTAGCATTTGCTCCCTTCAGTTTCTTTTTTATTTCTCACTGTTCTAAATGGCAATTCTATAACTATCTTGTGCATTTTACATGACATAACACCATTTCAGCAGTGGTTGCAATGGGATTACTCAAAAATGAAAAGTAATCATAAAAGTAATATAGTATCTCTAAATGACTGGGAATAGAAGCAATTCCCTTTATGCTGCAAAAGTACATGTATACACTTGAGTATGGCATGCAAATACATTTTCAATGTATAATTTCTTCAATATATACACAAATGTATATATGAGCAAATACTTACTCTAGACTGTGAGAAGTTGAAGTAAGGATGTTTAAGCTCTAAACTAAGCATTTCATTTAGAAAATTAAACATGACTGTTTACCCAGAACCAAACTCAACAGTGCAACTATTACAGATTGTTTTATTACTGGAAGAAGTTGTCAAATGTAAATAGGTCACTTTTTTTCATTCTTTAACATTTTCATTTATACCTCCACAAAAAGCACACCGGGGCCAAGAAAATTAATTCCCCAAATGCTGTCAACCAGGTTGGGAAACAGCAATAAACAGCTTACTATAAAGCCTCCAGCTACAATAAAACTGCTGTCAATAAGAGCTGAGAGTTGGACTGTACAAAAACAGGTCCTCTCGAAATGATAATCTGAAAAGGAAAGAAGCTAACGGTTCTTGTCCTAATATGCTGAGGCAGTGGTTCTCAAAGTTTGGGTTCCTGGATTAGCAACATCATTATCACCTGGGATCTTGTCAGCAAAGCAAGAATTCAGACTTGACCCCAGTGACACTGGACCTAAAACCTCTGGGACTGAGGACCAACATGTTTTAAGAAACATTCCAGATGATTCTGAGACATCCTAAAATTTAAGAACTTAATACCATAATTTAAAAATCATATTCAATTAAGAAGATATTTTCCTTTTAGAGAAAATATATCAATGAGCTTCATCATTTATGGTCCTACTAGAAATGATTTTGTTGTCATCCTCTCAAACCTATGACAATGAACTTTGCTTATTTATGAATAAATATTAAGGCATAATCTAGCTTTTTTTAAAAAAGGACATTTTATTTAATCTGTGAATGCTAAGGGTACATCCAAAACTTCATAAAAAATAATTTGCAGAAAATTCAGTGACAGATTAGTTATATTCAAGGAAAAGGAAAGCTTAGTGAAATAGAGTGGATGAAGAATGTGGTTTATTATTGATTTATACGTTCTTTGCAAGGTCACATGAGGGAAAACAGCAAGAGAAAAAAAAAGTCACACAACATAGGAATCAATGCACTATAAGCAAACTCATGGTATAAAAGTCAGACCATAGGTTTCCATTGTACAGATAAGACAAACTCATGCTATTTAAATTTGATAATTCTTTGCTCACTAATCTTTCATTTTACCCACACATCAACTAGCACCATAAAGTGAAAAGGTGTTTCTGTTAACAGCAATCCTTTTCCACTCAACTAAAAATCTTCACAGATCCTACCTTAGTTTATAAATTCCTCTGAAATATTTTGCTATAATAAACCCTACTTTTTCAAAATTGTGTTATTTCAGGAACACATTTTCATAAAAGCCACTAGCTGAAGGAGCTAAAAAAAAGAATTTTTATTTTTTAACTTAACTAGAACATCTTCAATAACAGCCATATAGTTCAGTGAAAAAACAATTTAAAGGATAGTATATAATGTGTGCTCTTCATTCATAGAAAATATGCCTCTTTTATACTAAAATTGTACATATTGCTATCACCATCACCTGTCCTTACTTTCAGAAATACTTTTTCTCCAACATTGCAATTTTTCTTTCTCAGCATGAAAACTTCTAAAAGGCGTAAATAACCAAAGCCATTTCAATAGCTCTTTACCATAATAGTGAATTATAGCTACATTTGAACACTGAAATGCCTACCAGAAGAACTGCACAGTGACGCAGGGTCTCAAGGAATGTCTAAAATGCACTTTCGTTCCAGTTAGAGAATTATTCAGCATCCTATTTCAAAGATTACATCACACAAACAAATTTCCTTATGACTGACTAAACCTCGATGAAAGATCTTTCCCATACCTTAACATTTATGTCACTGTATTATATATATGTCACAGTACTATATATAGATCCAACTTTGGGGAAGAAGTCAGAAAAAGTGGGTCTGTGCATCAATGCTCATAATACCCACCACACTTAATATGAAAAGAAAAATGCTGTGGGAATAACTTCAGCATGTTTCTCTGGGAAACAAATTTCAGATTTTATATGAAAAGTTTTAAGTCATGTTACATTTTTAAGATATTGTGCAAATCATAAAATATCATCAGTATTTTGTGGTGACATTACCCACCCATTGAAAGTAAATAATAAAAAGCCATATTTTCTTTTCACTGAAATAGCAACTTTATATTTAAATCCACTTAGTTTCAGAAATTACTTTTCTCACCATGATTAACTATTTAGCAACATTTACAAACCTCTACTAAACTCAGAAACTTTAAAACATCAAACCTCTTTTAAAAAGCCAATGAAGTTAATATGAAAATAACTCATTCCAAATTCTATGTCTATCGAATAACATCATATTCTCTAGAACCTTCGTACTGACTTAATTCCTTTCATCCTGTACATTCAAGCTCTAAGTATATGTGCTTTATAAATCCTCTAGATATTTAACCTCTTAAGAATTGGAAATTTCAGTTGTAAAATCATAGACATTATACTTAATGTTCGGAAGTATCTCTGATTCATTGTCACAATTATTTTAATAAATATCGTACTACCATGAAACCTTAAAGTCACTACAGAGCAACAAATGCCGGATGGTGACAGACCAGAGTTTCAATAGAACATTCTCACCCATCCCACCCCCACAAGGAAAAAAATGAGACAAACTCTTGAGTTTTCAAACACTAAGCAATGACTGTCAATACTTTCTCCAAATTTTATTTTGCTTTACTTGATTCTCTGAAATCTGTATGTTCCTTACTTTTAACAAAATCAGATGGGTCATCACCATAGGTGGACTCAATACCAACACAGACAGAACTTGGATTACGAAGTCCTAGAAAGTTGGTGTGTTGAGAACTGATCACAAAAGAGCAAGCAAATGAACTTAAATGCTAGTTGCTCCAGAACAACTATCATTAAATAAAAGGTATCTTTGGCTATAGCACCAGATTGATCTTTCCTTCCCCCTTTACTTGCTACTGTGGGATTGGCGCCAGGCCAGCACAAGCGACATGATACCCTAGTGCCATCTACAGGCTATTATTGACACTCAAACTTCATGGCAACAGGCAAGCACCAGTGAAATAAATTAGACAGCGCTGCATTTAAATCTTTATTAACAAGGAATTATTAGACCTAAGAAAAACTAATTCTGGATTTGGTTGAAATATGAGTTTCTCAGCCTATTAATCCCTCTTCATATGTCATATTTCACAATTTAAAATGAGTTATGACAGATCACTTATGCATTACTGAGATGAGAATATTTACAATGGATTCATTCTTTTCTGTATAAATCAGTTCTAACAGGGAGAAAGTATTCCTTCTTTCTTTCTTTCTTTTTTTTTTGAAAGAGTACTTTGGCCATTGTGGACAATCTGCAATCCTTTCTTTTCAACCTCCAATTTACTATATTACAATAAAATCATTGCAAATCAAAGAGAAGACTTCCTATATGGCTTAGCTGCAATCTACCAACAATCATGTGCTTCACAGCTGATGTACATTTAATATTCTACTATATTTTTAGAGACTAAAAAAAATTAACCCCTTTAGCAACCACAGCTCCAACATATTTATAGTCAGACCTTCAAAAGTCATTTAAAACTTGAGATTTGAAGGTGACTTTTGAGATCAAAAGGTAATGTGAAAATCTTGAAGCAGTCAATTTGGAAACCCCAGGAGCAGAATTTGGCATATCAGGACAGGTTTTCTTCTTCAGCAAACATTATCTTGGGACATTTTGGAATAATTTCCTCTTTTCATCTTTTGCCATTGGAAGGAAACTGGGAGGTTAAATAATTCTCAGCACTCAGAAATTTCAAAGCTGTTCTAAAAATTGTCGACTGAGCCCCAGAGGAATAGAAAAGGGGTCAAGTTTTTTTTTTCCCTCTTTATAACTAAGCTAAAGTTAGACCAAAACAAGAGACACAGTGGCACGTTAATACTGGTTGACTGGGCACTTGTATGCAGTACTTATAGACCAGTAAAAGTGCTCATTTACCTGTCTGGTGTGTAAGGGGCCCTTTGTCTTGAAGCCGCCTTGGGAACTGCACTCTGAGGCACTGAAGTGATCTGAACTAGTGGAAGAGCGTTTGGAAAGGGTGTCACAACCCCCGACAAAGGTGTTGTCCAACGGGAGCTCCTGAATCACGTGATGCTTTTTCACCGAAACCGGAGTGTCTGGTTTAAGATGGAAAGCGGGCTGTGGAGAAGCGGACTTGTAGTGCTTGGCCAGGTCAGGGCTGTTCGGCTTGAAGGTGGTTGGAGGGGCCGGGCCCCAGTCAAATCTTCCTATGCCCTGCTCCTCCAGCTCAGCCGGCAGGCTTATTGTCCCATTGATGGGTTCGTGAACTGCATCGTCGGGCTTGGACTCTTCGATGGTGACAAAGTTCAAAAGAGAGCTCTTGGGAGATTTTCTTTTCTTCCTTTTCTTTTTCTTGTTCTGTTTGTTCTCCTGGTTTGGGGACATCCATTCGGCACCTTGCTTGCTCCTTTGAGCTGCTTTGAATCTTGATGCGTGGCGACAGCGCACCAGCACGGTGACAAAGATCACGACGATGACCACCATGGCGCCTGCGACGATGGCGATCATGATGGTGAGATAGTCCTCGTTTTGATAGGGTTGGCTGCTATCCCCTATGTTTCTGTCCAACGGGGTCTCCATAGTCCTGCGAATCAAGTCATAGATATAGGAAGCATTGCCCGCGGTGTCATTAACATAAAGGAAAACAAGTACGAGGGTGTGCAGAGACTTGGGGTACCCCAAGTCACTTATGTTGACCACCAATCGGTGCAAGCCCACATCAGTTGGTGCTGGCTTTTCTTCCAGGGTGATGTTACCTGTTACCGGATCAATCCGAAACAAGCCTTTGTTGTTACCACTCACAATTGTATACTTAAGTTCAGCGTTCATCCCAGTGTCGATATCCACTGCAAAAACTTCTGCTACCACTGAGCCAGGAATGGCTGAGAGAGGCACCAACTTAAAAGAAGTATTAGAAGGCGGTGAAATAACAACAGGGCTATTGTCATTGACATCCATGACATTTATAGTTACTTTTGCGGTAGAGGAACGGGGCGGTTTTCCCCCATCAGTGGCTTTGACATCAAAAGTGTAGGAACTCTGCTGCTCTCTGTCAAATGAGACATTTGACTTTATGACTCCAGAATAGGGATCCAACACAAAATTATCATTGTCATTTAGAATGGAAAGAGTCACAGCTTTATTCTCTCCAGCATCTGCATCTGTCACTGTGATTACCCCCACAGTACTATACTTTGGCAGATTCTCAGACACAAAAAATTGAAAATGGTTATGAGTAAACTTGGGGCTATTGTCATTCTCATCCAGAACGGTAACTATCACAGCCGCTTGACTTTGGAGGGGAGGGGTCCCATTGTCCCTGGCAGTTACTGTAAAAATGAATCGTTCTTGTTCTTCTCTGTCAAAGACTCTAGAGGCTGTCAAAACTCCTGTCTTTCGGTCCAGATCAAAGAAGGAGGCATTCGGCCCAAGCTGATAAACAATATCTGCATTTTTCCCACTGTCTTCATCTGTGGCACTAATAGTTGTTAAGTATAACCCACGTCTGTTGTTTTCAGAAACTGACAGCTCAATTACAGGCTGGTTGAAAATTGGTGGGTTGTCATTTTCGTCCTCAAGCTTAACCCTTACCAGAGCAGTTTGATTTAAACTGGGCTTCCCAGAATCAGAGGCAACGATTTTAAAGCTGAATTCTTTGGTGCCCTCATAGTCCAACAAAGAGGAGGTCTCTAACAAATATTGGTTGTCATATACTGCCTTCAAATGAAATGGGACCTCTCTTTCAATAAAACAGATCACTTTGCCATTCACATCTGTGTCCTTATCTGAAACTGTAATGAGGGCAATCTTTGTATTGACAGGATCTTTCTCAGACAAATACACGGTGCCATTGATGGGACTTATAATGTACCTGAGGTCTATGTTCGGAGGGTTATCATTTACATCAGTGACATTGATGGTAACCGTTGCTCTAGCAGGAGTAGAGCTGCCATCACTAGCCAGTACTGTCACTTTGTGAATGGCCGTCTCCTCTCGGTCTAAGGACCTTTGAACTGTAATCAGCCCAGTAGTATTATTTAAAGCAAAGAGTCTTTTGGTTGCAGGCGCGACCTGGGCACCAAAAATGTACCGGATTTCAGCATTACTGCCTATATCTGCATCAGTGGCATGGAGCTGAATTACAGAGGTGCCCACAGGAGCATTCTCTGGAATATGCACCTCCACCTGGCCCTCTTTAAATACTGGTTTGTTGTCATTTACATCACTTACTGTGACCTGCAGGATGGCGGTGCTGGACTTTTGTGGGGTGCCTCCATCCTCTACTTTGATTTTCATCACATAGGTATCTTTCTGTTCTCTGTCCAAGTTTTGCTGAACAATCAATTGCGGCCACTTTTCTCCTTCCGGAGTTTCCACGATATCCAGTCCAAAAACACTCTGCCCATTTAACAATTCATAATGCTGTACACCATTGAAGCCTGTGTCAGGATCTGTTGCTGATGGAATTGGAAAGCGGCTGTTGATCAAAGTGTTTTCTGGGATGGAAATATTGATGACAGGAGATGGAAACATGGGGGCATTATCATTGGTATCCTTGACAATTATTTTTATTTTGATCAGCCTGAAAAAATCATTGGGGAGGATCACCACCTCAAGTTCAAAGAAACACTCATTCTCCTCAGCATAAGAGGCTCCAGCACAGAGTTTTTCTCTGTCTATTCTATTGGAGGTTGTGAAAATTTCCCCAGTGCTACTGGATACTTTCACCAAAGGGGCATCCCCAGCTTTAGAAACCAGTCTGTAGACAAGGCTGGCGCTGGTCCCTGTGGCAGGATTGATGTGAGAAATGTTCAGATCCTTTGGTATGTTTCCTATGGGCACATTTTCAGGCAATTCCTCTCTAATAGTGTAAATAAGTTCTTGAGCTATTGCGGAATCCAGCCTTAAACAGGCAATCAGAGCAGCCAACAGGTAAAAATCCCTCAGGTCCATGATAATGTATTTATTTTCTTTTTCCTGGATTTAGGGTTTAAAGGTCTCCACTGAGGAATGAGGCACAAATTGCAAAAGAAAGCGTGCATGGACTGGAGGATGCATTACATCTCATCGCGTATTTGGAGACAGCCACTGTCAACACAATCGTATAGACAACATTATTCTTCAGTAAACAAAAGCACATAGTCATGAAATATCACAACACATTTTCCACTGCATATTAGTAAACATGGCAGTTTGCTCTGCCACTGTTTGTAAGTTAACTCTGTGAATAAAAACACCAAATATCCCCTGCTTGTTGCATTTGCCCAGAGAAAATAAAATTATCTACTTTCGAATTAAGGGCAGCTGCTATTTTTACCTGCATTCACCCACACTGTTGGCAGGACACTGTTTAATTCAAAACATGCGTCCTTGGTCTCCTCTTCCCCTCCCCCCTCTTACCCGCCTCCTGGCTTCTAACCCACCTCCCTTAGTTTTTTTAGGAGCTAGTGAAAAACACCAAGTATTTAGCTATGGTTCCTGCTAATTGCTTTGTCACATGTCAGATGTGATGTGTTTTCTTCTCTGCCACACTGAGTCATCTCTTTCTTCTAAACAGACTATCTTTTTTTCTTTCCTCCCAGTTTTTCAGCTGCCTTCTGAATACAATTTTACTGGGAAGCAAGCATTCGGACATGCTGCTGCAGCATCAGAAGCAGCAGTCACCGGCCACTACATAACCTCATTGCCTAAAAGCACAATACCAAGACCTTCAGTTTACCCAGACCTTGCTCTCATTTCTCCATGTTGCTAAATTATCCCCATTAGAATTAATAAACACATTAAAACTTTTAGAATACATATAATAACATAGGATTCCTTATCCTAGAGGTGGAAGAGAGTGCCAAGACAAGTGAAACGCAGCTAACATTTCCATGTAACAGCACAATATTTTCTACTGAGCATAAAGAGGAAAGAAAAAAAAAATGCAGTTCTTAACCCCATCTCCGCTTATAGTATTAGTAACGTCTGCCACACATAAATACTGTGACTCAATAATGCAGGTAGAAAGCCTTCTGCTTCGATGCCCTTCTAACTGCAATTTAAACGGGTGCAAGCCTCCAGGCAGCTACCTACTTGAGTAGAACTGGTCAGTTTCCAGGCTCTAATCTTATCTGCATTAGGCTGCACGGTAGCTGATGCCCGCGATTAGTTCCGGAAGAGTGATGCAGGTAAGGATGCAGATACAGCCTAGTAGGTGAGCTCTGCCCCAACCGTCTACCCAGTTATAAACATCCCTCGTCTCCACCGAGGACATATCTAAACACAAAATTTACAATTGTGCATGCGAAACTTTACACTTACGTTAGTTGCCTCAACCTTTCCCCTTTCCCGGTATGCTGCAGTTAGGAATGAGCTGTTCCAACACATAGAAAGCCATGCATCTGGTAGCACCAGTTTTGGGAGAAATCAGAAGCAGCAAAACGCTTCCTCCTTGTAAAATGTGTTGCTTCGGGCTGGCAAATTAGCAACTCCAGAGAACAAATTCACAGATTTGTCGTTAGTCATTCTCTCCACATTTCGTCTCTATTACCCACGGGGTCTGAGCTCTCCTGGTATTTAACACACACACTACATCCAGTGGCACTTCTTCTGCTCAGGGGTATTTTCCACAGCATCAAGTATACCATTTCCCTCCGATGTCAGTACTGCTTAAGTCTCTAACTTCTTGTAGGAAACGTCAGAGTTGGGGTGATGGTGAGTCTCTGGGTGCTCTCCGGGGTGACAGGTGCCCGAAAAATTCCTAATTGGTTATCTCTTGCGTGCTTCTGAGACTCTAGGGCGCTCCTTCCTGTCTGGCACGCTCTCCCTCTCTCCCTTCGCCTCTGCCCCTCTCCTTCTCCCTCTCCTCTCTCTGAACTGAATTTCTTGATATAACTCTCAATAAGCCCAGAGGGAGGGCGTGACGGCCGAAGCCCCGCCTCCGGCCCCTGATTGGCCCGAATCTTGCGGTGCGGGCGGCCGCAGCCGGGCGAGGAACAAGGCGCTGACTGTCTCCCAGCCTCCCTTCCCCAGTGCCCCCTCGGCAGCCGCGAAAACCCGGAGACACGATCCTGGCTGCGCGAGAGCCAGGTTCCTGGAGGCGCACTGAGCATGCCCAGCAGGGTCTGGCCCAGGAGGGAAGTGGCGGCGCTCCCGAGGCCCGAGCGGACGCGGCTCTCAAGAGCACTGCGGGGCCGGCGGCTGCTCTGGGCAGCCTGCGGCCGCGTCCCGGCGGTCGCCCGAATAGGGGCGGCACCGGAGGCAGGCGGGGCGTGCGAGCGCCGATCCGAGAGCCTCGGGCACCGCGGCGGGCGGTTGGGGGATGCCGGAGGCGGCTCAGCTGCGGCCGCACATTCCACAGTTCTCTTTGCTAAATGGGGGGACCGGAATGCACTGATGGGAAAGAGTTCTTCCGGGCTCCGAGGCGGAGCACCGGCCAGCACATCCCGGAGCGCGTTAGAAGGACTACACTCACGCTGCCGCAACTAGAGGCTTTTCCTGGCAGGGACGTTGGCCAGAAGGGCACAGAGGGCGGCTTGGAAAGGTCGGGACAGAGGATATTCGAATCTCAAGCAAAACAGGAAAGAAAATGAATTTGAGCACTCTTCGTGTAGGGTGACGGAAGCTGCCGGGAGAAAGGGAAAATGACAGCCTCTGGGATCCCCTAGACAGCCTGAGGCCAGTCTGCCGTGCGGCGCGAAGTCTCGTCTCGGGGAGCATGAACGGGCCGCGGCAGCGGATCCAGGCTGTCCTTGCACTCCTGCTCCCGCCGCGCCCAGACCCTGTGAACCCGAGCTCTCCCGGACGCGCGGCCGTGGCAAAAGCTGCTTCAGCTCACCTAGCTGCAAACTTTGGTCGCGAAATGCTGGAAGGAGTCCCGTCCAGCTGCTCCCCAAGCTATGGAACGTTTCTCTCCCCTACACTGTCTGCTGATTCCAACTTGACATGTACACTAGTACTTGTCTTTCCCTGGCCACTTCGTTTTTCTGACTCCTGTTCCGTCGTCGAGTATCCTGACGCATGTCTTATTTTCATGTAAAAGCGGGATAGAGGGACTCTCGAAAGAATTAGCCTTATTCCTTAAATATTGACCCCGAAAGCACTGTCTATATTTGACTGAACGTTTTAAATCGGTAAACCACAAGTATTTGTACCTACGACGCCAAATACCTCAGTAAAGTTTGAGGCATTAATAACAGTTCACTTCGAGCAATATATATATTGGATGACCTGTAAAGGTTGTTTGAGAAGGCCTTAATGCCATGATTGAATAACTTGTACTACCTAACAGGGAGGAAAAGGGCATTTATTTTAAACCTCCGTGTTGCCCATTCGGTACTGGGCTAAAGATGGCTTGAAGGCTCTTTCACGTAGTTCTGCACTGTGATGGCGTGTTCGGGAACACCTTTTGTTTTTGAATACAATGGCTTTCCTTTTAAAATATGAACAATTATTTTTAGGTACTTAAAAGTAAAAAAAAAAAAATCACTAAGCAAACCTACCGAACTTAGATACTGTGTAAATAATTCCATTATTTGACCAACTAATTTGACACTGCAATTTTCTCACCTCTATGAAAATTTGCTTTTTATACAAACTTTTCCTCATATGGAATATTCACAGTAAAAGTGCAGGGCCTCAGAGGCCCCTGTAAAACACATTAACACCATCTATGTGAAATATAAACATGAATCTAGCAGACCATAGGTTGATACTGTTTTAAAATGGCTAAACAACTCTAACAGTATTTTGAATGATTAGGAAAAAGGCTTGCTTAAGTATCTAAAAAGTCAAAAGGAAAATACTACCACATACAATAACCCGAGTGAACTAAAGGAATATTCTTTTCTTTTACCACAGTGAGTGATCATTTTGCCATTCATGGAATCAACAATTATAGCTAGTGCTTTGTTCCAGTTGTCACATATTTTATGCTCTGAACTAGTTTAAAATAATAAACGAACCATCATTCTGATACATTTACAATAAACACTGCAGCACGGCCACTTTCCAGTCCATTTATGAAACATCAGTTATCTCACGTTCTCATTCCAATCATACTGTAGTCATTTCAAAGTCACAACACATAACCATAATTATTAAACATATTCACAAAGTGGAAACGTTTCTGTTTGCTGAGGGGTAGCTTTACTTGTAGTCAGGACCCATTATTACCCTATGCTCATAAATGAAATCTTAGCATGAATACAGAGGAAGGTTAAGGAAGAGAAAAATCATCACACGATAAAACTTATGACCAGGAGACTTCAATTAACAGAAACCACAGGGCATACTCCCCAAATGAAGTACATGTAGATCTTTTCAAAGGAAATTGAGTTTAATATAGAGATATGGCTACTGACTTATTCCATTTTATGGGTGTTTATTCCGCAGGTCTAAATTGGTGGCATTCTTTATTGTAATAGTTTTACCTCTGAGAGCTAGAATACTTGAAGCTTATTGTTTGCCCTATTATAGTCCAAATGCTAAACTCCAGAATCAAAAATATTATTAGAGCTCTTATTAATATCACTGGATGAAAATTAATTGATATAAAGGGCCATTTTCCTAACGTTCTGCTATCATAACTTGAGTCTTCTACCAAAACCATGATATAAAATGTTTGCATATGGAGAGCTGTTCACAATCCAACTCTCATTTTTTTTTTAAAAAAGATGTACCTGCATAATTATGAATTAGTGAAATGATAGTATTCACTAATTTTAATTTTTGTAGGGGAACATTTATTGAGGTGTTTTTTGGGGGGTTTTTTAGCTGCATTTTAATCACCTTTCGCTTTCCTGAATTTAGTAAAGTGTTAGATTCTCAATTATATGACTTCTAATATACATCTTCAAATATATATGTTAAATTTCCAATTAGATCTCTTCAATTATCCCTTATACCATGTTTGTCAATTCATGTTTTATGCAGCAAGGAATTATCATGTCCTCACCTGTGTTGTACCTGAT